CGTGCTTGACGGATCACTGATTCGTCCACGCGGTGGTCCCATGTGCACGGCTGATTGGCTGAGGGGTAACAGAGATGTTACCATACGTATATCATTTATTATTATTATTATTATTATTTTTATGTTTACACACATAAATCACAATAATGTGTTATATATATCAATGAGAAAATCATTTGGAACAATGAGGGTGACTTGAACCAGCGGTCAGGGCACTCCCAGCAGCGCATCTCACCCCTCAGCCCGTCCTCCAAACAAAGATCCAAAAGTGATTCCATGCACCCGCCAAACCCCCTGTTTATGAATGAAAAGCGGTTTACACACGACTCACAACTGCTGACGTTCGAACATATCCGGAACGAGTTTTTCACTGACGAATTTTGTTCGAATCCCAACGCTATAAATGCTTCACCCACGTACTACAAATACAAATAATCGCCAACAGAACCTAAACACCTAACCTATCCTATGCCTATATATGCACAATAGGCTAATATATTATAATATTAATTTATACTTGAGAAAATTCCCGTTTTGAATGAACAGCATATTAAAATTTATGAATGCGTCTGTGGGGTCGACCGCTGGATGTAATGGACTTGAGTCGAGGACGGGTTGTGTGAATTATACGACCTCATTGATTAAAATAAATTCCCAATTGATATATTTATCACGTTAGTATGTAGAGTTGATACACTCCTGCTGGGGGAACTCCTCCCCCTGCACCAGAGTGCTGGAGGAACTCCACCCCCTGCACCAGAGTGCTGGAGGAACTCCACCCCCTGCACCAGAGTGCTGGAGGAACTCCTCCCCCTGCACCAGAGTGCTGGGGGAACTCCTCCCCTGCACCAGAGTGCTGGGGGAACTCCTCTCCCTGCACCAGAGTGCTGGGGGAACTCCACCCCCTGCACCAGAGTGCTGGGGGAACTCCTCCCCCTGCACCAGAGTGCTGGGGGAACTCCTCCCCCTGCACCAGAGTGCTGGGGGAACTCCACCCCCTGCACCAGAGTGCTGGGGGAACTCCACCCCCTGCACCAGAGTGCTGGGGGAACTCCTTCCCTGCACCAGAGTGCTGGGGGAACTCCTCCCCTTGCACCAGAGTGCTGGGGGAACTCCTCTTCTGCACCAGAGTGCTGGGGAAACTCCTCCCCTGCACCAGAGTGCTGGGGGAACTCCTTCCCTGCACCAGAGTGCTGGGGAACTCCTTCCCTGCACCAGAGTGCTGGGGGAACTCCTCCCCCTGCACCAGAGTGCTGGGAGAACTCCACCCCCTGCACCAGAGTGCTGGGGGAACTCCACCCCCTGCCCCAGAGTGCTGGGGGAACTCCACCCCCTGCACCAGAGTGCTGGGAGAACTCCACCCCCTGCACCAGAGTGCTGGGGGAACTCCACCCCCTGCGCCAGAGTGCTGGGGGAACTCCACCCCCTGCACCAGAGTGCTGGGGGAACTCCACCCCCTGCACCAGAGTGCTGGGGGAACTCCACCCCCTGCACCAGAGTGCTGGGGGAACTCCACCCCTGCACCATCCTGTCTTCTCCTAATACATCTTTAAAGCTCAGCTACCATTCCGTCCAAATTGTGGTGTATTAGTCAAAATGAAACCATCGTAATACTGACGTTTGCAGTAACTGAGCCGCAGGAGGTGTAGCTGAGACGACCTGAGGGGCGCCGCCCCCCCCCCAACACTGCCCTAATAACCGCTCCCCGTAACAGCTGGTCGCTAGTGGTCGTTACTCTCCTGGCAATATCCTCCTGTAATTACTTCAACTGACTCCTCGGGTAGCTGGCTTGGTGCTGTTTAGCCTGCTTGGCTGGCTTGGGTGGCTGGCTGGCTGGCTTGGGTGTCTGGCTGGCTGGCTTGAGTGTCTGGCTGGCTTGAGTGTCTGGCTGGCTTGGTGCTGTTTAGCCTGCTTGGCTGGCTTGGGTGGCTGGCTGGCTGGCTTGAGTGTCTGGCTGGCTGGCTTGGGTGTCTGCGGCTGTCTGGCTGGCTTGAGTGTCTAGCTGGTTGGCTTGGATGTCTGGCTGGCTTGAGTGTCTGGCTGGCTGGCTTGGGTGTCTGGCTGGCTTGAGTGTCTGGCTGACTGGCTTGAGTGTCTGGCTGGCTGGCTTGGGTGTCTGGCTGTCTGGCTGGCTGGCTTGGGTGTCTGGTTGGCTGTTTTATATACTTGTGTCGAATTGTATATTATCAGCATTACCACACACCACCACCCCCCACCACCACTACCACCCCCAAGGCATTACCACACCACCCCACCACCCACCACCACTACCACCCTACCACCACCACCACTACCACCACCACCACCACCCTCACCATCACCACCATCACCACCACCACCACCACCACCACCACCACCACCACCACCACCACTACCACCACCACCACCACCACCACCACCACCACCACCACCACCACCACAACCACCCCCCTCACCATCACCACCACCACCACCACCACCACCACCACCACCACCACCACCACCACCACCATCACCACCACCACCACCACCTGGCCCAGCTAATGAAACAACAGTCCCACACACTTCCACACAGGAGAATTAGGGGCCTGAATTAGCCTATACGGTCCCGTGAGCGGGGCTGAGGGCCCCAGGAGCGGGGCTGAGGGCCCCGGGAGCGGGGCTGAGGGCCCCGGGAGCGGGGCTGAGGGCCCCGGGAGCGGGGCTGAGGGCCCCGGGAGCGGGACTGAGGGGCCCCACCGACTATTGGAGGCGCCTGCGGGCCGGGAACGTGATAATATGGGCCAGGTCGTAGCGCTGGCTCTTAGTGGTAAGAGGCGCCCAGGGTCGCCATTGGCTGTAACAGGTGAGAATACTTAGTGGTGTGTGTGTGTGTGTGTGTGTGTGTGTGTGTGTGTGTGTGTGTGTGTGTGTGTGTGTGTGTGTGTGTGTGTGTGTGTGTGTGTATTCACCTAGTTGTGCTTGCGGGGGTTGCTCAGCCCCCGCAAGCACAACTTGCGGTTCCCTCAGGCGCTCCTCATACCCCATCCCTCGTAACTCTGGGACAAGTCTCGTTGCAAACCTCTGAACCTTTTCCAGTTTCCTTATATGCTTCTTCAGGTGGGGACTCCATGATGAGGCGGCATACTCTAACACTGGCCTCACGTAGGCAGTGTAAAGCGTCTTAAATGCCTCCTTACTTAGGTTTCTGAATAATGTTCTAACTTTTGCCAGTACGCTGCTGTCGTTATCCTATTTCTATGTGCCTCAGGATATAGATTAGGTGATACGTCCACACCAGGTCTCTTTCTCGCGTCGTCACAGGTAGGCAGTTCCCCTTCATTGTGTACTGTCCCTTTGGTCTCCTATCTCTTAGTCCCATTTCCATAACTTTACATTTGCTCGTGTTGAACTCCAGTAGTCATTTCTCTGACCATCTCTGCAACCTGTCCAAGTCCTCTTGGAGGATCCTACAATCCTCATCTGTCACAACTCTTCTCATCAACTTTGCGTCATCCGCGAACATCGACATGTAGGACTCTACTCCTGTAAACATGTCGTTAACATATACAAGAAATAGAATTGGTCCCAGCACCGATCCTTGTGGTACTCCACTTGTTACTGTTCGCCTGTCCGACTTCTCGCCCCTTACCTTAACTCTTTGGCTCCTTCCTGTTAGGTAGTTCCTTACCCATGCTAGGAACTTTCCCCCCACCCCCGCCTGCCTCTCGAGTTTGAACAGCAGTCTCATGTGCGGTACTGTATCAAAGGCTTATTGGCAGTCCAGAAATATGCAGTCTGCCCAACCATGTGTGTGTGTGTGTGTGTGTGTGTACTCACTTAGTTGTGCTCACCTAGTTGTGTTTGCGGGGGTTGAGCTCTGGCTCTTTGGTCCCGCCTCTCAACTGTCAATCAACTGGTGTACAGATTCCTGAGCCTACTGGGCTCTATCATATCTACATTTGAAACTGTGTATGGAGTCAGCCTCCACCACATCACTACTTAATGCATTCCATTTATCAACTACTCTGACACTGAAAAAAATCTTTTTAACGTCTCTGTGGCTCATTTGGGTACTAAGTTTCCACCTGTGTCCCCTTGTTCGTGTCTCACCCGTGCTGAAGAGTTTGTCTTTGTCCACCCTGTCAATTCCCCTGAGAATTTTGTATGTGGTTATCATGTTTCCCTCATGTCATGTGTGTGTGTGTGTGTGTGTGTGTGTGTGTGTGTGTGTGTGTGTGTGTGTGTGTGTGTGTGTGTGTGTGTGTGTGTGTGTGTGTGTGTGTGTGTGTGTGTGTGTGTGTGTGTGTGTGTGTGTGTGTGTGTGTGTGTGTGTGTGTGTGTGTGTGTAAGTGAGTGTGTAAGTGTGTGTGAGTGTGAGTGAATATGAGTATGTCACGTGTCTCTCCTATTTTGGTTCACTGACAACCACCTTCACGTCAGTCCTCCCCCCCCCCCCCCTCCCATTACCCTTCCCCCCTTCCCTCCACCATCTCCCCCTCCCTCCATCCCACCCCTCCCCCTTCCCTTCACCGTGAGCAACTTCCTGTCTGGAATAGCAGAGTTTTCCGCTTCTCTCTCCCGGTGGGATGCCTCTCAGCAGGTGTGTGTGTGGGGGGGGGGGGGTGGTCCCTGGCAGCGTTGATGACCCATGTGGCAAGATCAGCAGGTGTGTGTGGCAGTCACATGTGAGCTACATGTCTGTGGTAATATGTAAGGGGAATGGAGTATATGTTTACACATATATGTGTGGTCAGCTATGTAGCGAGAGGGGTGGGAGGGTAGCATGTGCTTGCATGTGTGTGTGTGTGTGTTCACTTCCACATGTAGGAGCCAGCCACAGCTCCCAAGCCCCGCCTCTAAAGCCATTAACAGTTTCATTCTATCGACTTTCTGATTGTATTTCAACAACTGTATTGAGTTGGCCTGAGCCACTTAGCCTTATAAACCAATACACTCACTTACTCTGAAGTTCTTTCTGGTAAGTTTTGTGGTGATTTTGATTCTGGAGATTTCTCTGTGTCCTCTCTCTGCGCTGTGCCTCACTTTGTGAACACTGTTTCTTTACCACACTTTGTAAACACTGTTTCTTTACCACACTTTGTGAACACTGTTTCTTTGCCACACTTTGTACACTGTTTCTTTACCACACTTTGTAAACACTGTTTCTTTACCACACTTTGTGAACACTGTTTCTTTACCACACTTTGTGAACACTGTTTCTTTACCACACTTTGTGAACACTGTTTCTTTACCACACTTTGTGAACACTGTTTCTTTACCACACTTAGTGAACACTGTTTCTTTACCACACTTTGTGAACACTGTTTCTTTACCACACTTAGTGAACACTGTTTCTTTACCACACTTAGTGAACACTGTTTCTTTACCACACTTTGTGAACACTGTTTCTTTACCACACTTAGTGAACACTGTTTCTTTACCACACTTTGTGAACACTGTTTCTTTACCACACTTTGTGAACACTGTTTCTTTACCACACTTTGTGAACACTGTTTCTTTACCACACTTTGTGAACACTGTTTCTTTACCACACTTTGTGAACACTGTTTCTTTACCACACTTTGTGAACACTGTTTCTTTACCACACTTTGTGAACACTGTTTCTTTACCACACTTTGTGAACACTGTTTCTTTACCACACTTTGTGAACACTGTTTCTTTACCACACTTTGTGAACACTGTTTCTTTACCACACTTTGTGAACACTGTTTCTTTACGTGGATTTTCGTGAACTGCTACTTTTCATAGTCCATTGCATAGGGTACGTTGGTGATCATAAGTTACCATAGTGTGGTGCTGGTCAAGGGGACGGGTTGAGGTCTCGTGTTTGAAGCCCACAGTGTTCCTCTCGCTCTGTTAAATTGGTTCGGGCGGGAACCCGCTCTTTGACTTCGGGCGGGAACCCGCTCTTTGACTTCGGGCGGGAACCCGCTCTTTGACTTCGCGCGGGAACCCGCTCTTTGACTTCGGGCGGGAACCCGCTCTTTGACTTCGGGCGGGAACCCGCTCTTTGACTTCGGGCGGGAACCCGCTCTTTGACTTCGGGCGGGAACCCGCTCTTTGACTTCGGGCGGGAACCCGCTCTTTGACTTCGGCCTTCCGGTCCCCTCGTTACAGTGGTCTTGTGTCACTAGTGTCTTAGCCTTGTGGCTGTTTTCCTGGTGCTGTGCCTGGCGGCCTTTGTGGGAAGTTCGAGTATACCTGGGATATATGCAGCATTTGACCCTCCCCCAGGATGCCAACCACAACAGTCGACTAACACCAAGGTTCCTAACCACGACACACAGAAATCACAATAGTGTGATGCATCAAATGAACAAATCCACAAGGGCCGTAACGAGGATTCGAACCTACGTCCGAGAGCATCCCAAACGCTGCCTTAATCGACTGAGCTACGACATAGAAAAGAATTGCAACCGGAAGTCACCTGTTACCAGTGTTTTGTCATACACCATGGAGAGTGGCAGGCACAGTGGTTCTTCTCCTTCCTTTAGTATCCATGGTGAGATTCCATCCGGGCCTATAGCCTTTGTCACATCCATCTCTAGCAAGAGCTTACTTACTTCCCCACTGGTAATCTCAAACTCTTCAAGTGGTTACTGGTTAACTATTCCTTCTCTTATTTCTGGAACTTCCCCATGCTTTAATGTGAAGACCTCCTGGAATTTCTTATTCAGTTCCTCGTACACTTCATTGTCGTTTGTAGTGAATCTGTCTGCCTCTATCCTCAATTTCATTACCTGTTTATCTTTACTGTTGTTTTTCACCTGATGTGGCTGTGCAGCAATTTTGGTTGAGTCTTTGCCTTGCTTGTGATGTCATTTTCATATTGCCCTTCTGCCTCTCTTCTCACCCTGACATATTCATTCCTGGCGCTCTTGTATCTTTCTCTGCTCTGCTCTATCTCCCTGCTCCCACTCACCCTGTGTGTGTGTGTGTGTGTGTGTGTGTGTGGACTCACCTATATATAATGACATGTATGTGTATGCTTCACAGAGCTTCAGCTTCTGGAGCTTGTCTCTCAGTCGCCTCTCACCTGAGGCTGTCACCCAGCCACCTTGAGTCTTATCATACATATTGTTCAAACTATGACACGTGGGTTACCGTAACTATCTTTCAGTTCATATCACTTGTTCACTCTTCTCACACTGAGGAAGTATTTTATCACACTGCTATGGCTCATCCAGGTATGTCCACGTGCATATATCATATAACATTTGGCTACTTGGAAATGCCTCTTAAGATTTTATAAATGTAACGCTATCTTAGCGCCTCTTAGATCGGCTATAGATCGCCAGGTTTGCAAACTGTTACTTCTGTTAAAGTAAGGTTCAATAATGTAGTAAGCATGTATTGAACATTTATTCTCATATGAAAGGAACAATAAACACATTTGTCTTCTCCTGTCTCAACCATTAACCTTCCCAACATCTAATGCGGTTGAAGTGGCCTCCGACACCCCATTCGTAAATAGGTTTGTAAATTAGCTCGTAAATAGGGGTTGTAAATTTACTTATAAATAGTGTTATAAATTGGTTCGTAAATAGCGTTGTAAATTAGTATAATGAATGTAAACGCGATGTGACCTAAGTCGTACTTCCGTTGATTATGTTCAGGTGACCACGCCCAACACGCAAGCTGGCCAGGCTGGGTTTGGTGTGGGAGTGCCTGCGTGGGAGTGTGCGTGTGGGAGTGGCCTGCGTGGGAGTGGCGTGTGTGGGAGTGGCCTGTGTTGGAAGAGTGCGTGTACTCACCTAATTGTGCTTGCTGGGGTTGAGCTTTGGCTCTTTGGTCCCGCCTTTGGTCTCGCTCACACTTCCGTGTGATCGAGTGTGTTGGATGTGAGTTTAAGAAAGAGTGTCCTCTCTCCGCCTCACTACCAGGTGATCACTCCGGCTGTGAGTGACGTGCCTCGGCAGGCTTGGGGAAACTTTGTGTGCCCCTGGCGGCAGGTGTGTGCCCCTGGCGGCAGGTGTGTGTGAATTATTCTCACTTCCCCATCCTGTCCTAAACCCTCCCCCCCCCGCTCTATGTCTCATTTTTGAGACATAGAGGGGGGGGGGAAGGGGGGAATATTTAATTAATATTTACATATTAAATATTAATATTTAAATATTAGGAATTTCTTTTTCAGTTTTATTAAAAAGTAGAGATTTTATACAAAATTTGATAATATCTTGATTTACTCTACAATTTATTTAAATATTTTAGTTTTGTTTTATTATTTTTATAAAACTGTAATATCAATATAGGTATAGCTTAAGTACTAATTGTAATTAAGAAGCAATAAAATGCTTATCTTAACATATTAAGAAGGTTAGGTTAGGTCGTGGTTTTCTATTCAGCTTAACAGGCAGTAGACTTTTTTCTTAAATATTCACAATAAATTAGCATATCACATATGTACTTATTCATAAGCAAAATATTGACTATAAGCAAGTGCGAGAACGTGTTGTCCCTATGCTGTTCTATCTTCCTATTTATTACCGGCTTTATTTATGTCATATTCAAGGTATACCTTCCTGCAACCCGTTCTCGCACTTTCTTACAGTCAATATTGACTTATTAAATACGTGCATATGTGACATACTAAACATACTAGTTTACCTTGAAAAGCTTCATAGAAAACACCGACCTTACCTAACCTTCTTAGTATGTTAAGATAAGCATCTTATTGCTTCGAAATTACAATTATTACTTAACCTATACCTATAATAAGTAATAGTGTAATTACAATTATTACTTAACCTATAATAATAGGTTAATAGTGTAATTACGAAGAAATAAGATGCTTATCTTAACATACTAAGAAGGTTAGGTAAGGTCGGTGTTTTCTATGAAGCTTTTCAAGGTAAACTAGTATGTTTAGTATGTCACATATGCACGTATTTAATAAGTCAATATTGACTGTAAGAAAGTTCGAGAACGGGTTGCTTCCTGTAGGCGTCAATAGTTCTCAGATTACGCTTGAGTCTTACCGGTACTCTTGGTGCCGAGTGGTTTGTAAATACCGCGTTTAGTGGTCTAGTTCTCCGGTGTTCATATTTGTGGGAAAATCCTAGCAGGTTTTATTCTCTTTTCTTTTTATGAATATTAAATATTTACTTTATTTTATTTTTTAATTGACTTTATCATTTTTATTTGACTTTAATATTATATTATTTTTCTTCTGAGTTAGTTTCTAGTTAGTGGACTGTATATTCTTATTCAGCTGCTAGAACTTATCACACACACTTGGGGGGGGGGGGGGGGGGGGGGGGGGGGGGGGGAGTGGAAACAATTTGTGGCTTAAACCACTTATAAGTGGATCCTTCATAAACCACAAATTGTTTACCTTATTGTTACAAACTATAAATTATAAATCGTGCCACATATGGTGGTCTAATCTACAATTCTTATAACTAATTAAATTATGTATACTACTCTATCTACAGTTTAAAGGAACATGTAGGCCTTAGCTGATACTGTAGGTGGGGCTAGCTAAGGCTGGCAGTCTCCAAACATAGGCTAAGGATGTGGCTACATGTACTCAGTGTGCATAAAATGGCTCCTTGGGCATGGTAGTAGCTTGATATACACAGTTATGTTGGGGGCCAGCTCAGCCTGCAACAGTAACATCCCTCACAATTACCTGTTTGGGATGTTTAGAATTAGTGGTTGTACATTAACATATTAAGTACAGATGTGACATGGAATAAGAGGAAAGTATAATGTTGAGTACGTACTTGTGTGAGCTTTAAAGCTCTCTCATAACCGGCTACCTAACTAATATTACCTAGTGCACACTACCAATAAAAAGTTATAACGTAGTCGGATACTCAAGTATCCGACTATGGTGGTAGAGGTGTTGTTGTTGTTGTAGTTCTCTTAGAACAGAGTAAATTGTCTGTCGTGCGAGACTCGGGGTACAATTCTCAGGAGCACTCGTTTCGTGTGTTGTTTGTTATGTTGTTTTTGTTGATTTAGGGGCGACGACGATCGTGGGACCGGATGCGCCCCGGCGTACTTGTCAAGGGTGAATCGCGAAGCCAGGAAAGGTGAAGCGCCAAGCCAAATCGCAAAAGTCATCCAGTGTCCCCCGGCAGAGCAGAAGCCAGCCGCCCACCACAGCTGAGGGCACACCAGGAGCCCACCAAGACCCACCAACCCCCGCCACCTCTCGGCCAAGCCGGCCCCCGAACACCGTCACCCCGCCGGGAGAACCAGCCAGAACACGCCCCAAAAAAGTCTATCAACAATCCCGTGATCCAAGGCGATATGTGCGCCAGGCGTCGTACAACCGGACCGTTGAAGAGGGATGCCAAACGGCAGTAGCAAAGCCAAAACGGGAAAACAGGACGTGATCAGGCGGCTCCCAGGCGGAGGAGGTATCCAGACGTCCGCTCGGCGTCAAGGTTGAACCAGGAGTCCCAAAACCATTATGATTCTGTGTTGTGACGCTGCCTCCCTCTCTCTTGTGATAATATCCTAATTCTACTTCTGATTTTATTTAACAGTAACAAGGGAGTCAAGCTATACTTCTTGATGTTGGAAATTGTATTCAGTCCTAGTGAACACTTTTTTATTAATTTTAAACACTAGACTGTTGTTTAAAAGAAATTAGAGTTTAATATATTACGTCGGTTGAGTGAGGTCACGGAATACCCGTTCTCTGATTTCTTCAATGGGTAACTTATTATTTTGTGTGTCGGATTTCCGACAATATTAACCCAGTTTGTAGATTCCTGCTAAGTCTCTCTCAGTCACTTATAGGTATAGAGTAGTCTAAGAATGTGTGTGTGTGTGTGTATTCACCAAGTTGTGCTTGCGGGGGTTGAGCTCTGGCTCTTTCGGCCCGCCTCTCAACTTTAAATCAGTCAACTGTTTTTTCACACCCTTCCTCCCCCCCCCTTCCCCAGGAAGAAGCCCGTAACAGCTGTCTAACTCCCAGGTACCTATTTACTGCTAGGTGAACAGACGCCTCAGGGTGCAAGAAACTCTGCCAATTTTTTCCGCCATCGTCGGGGATCAATCCCCCGTCCCTAGGATTAAGAATCCCGAGAGCTGTCAACTCAGCCACCAGTCCCTCCTTCGAGATGTGAGCGTATGCGTGTGTGTGCAACATTAGAAAGTTGGGCCACACCAGACCTCACCTTTATGTGGTCACGAATAAGTGCAGCCCTTGAGGGACCATTCAGGGACCAGAGGCGCTGGGCTGGGTGTCCCATAGCGGGCCAGGGCTGGGGGTCCCACAACGGGCCAGGGCTGGGGGTCCCACAGCGGGCCAGGGGCCAGAGCTGGGTGTCCCACAGTGGGCCAGGGCTGGGTGTCCCACAGCGGACCAGAGGCGCTGGGCTGGGTGTCCCACAGCGGGCCAGGGCTGGGGGTCCCACAACGGGCCAGTGGCCAGGGCTGGGGGTCCCACAGTGGGCCAGGGGCCAGGGCTGGGTGTCCCACAGCGGGCCAGGGCTGGGTGTCCCACAGCGGGCCAGGGCTGGGGGTCCCACAGCGGGCCAGGGCTGGGGGTCCCACAGCGGGCCAGGGCTGGGGGTCCCACAGCGGGCCAGGGCTGGGGGTCCCACAGCGGGCCAGGGCTGGGGGTCCCACAGCGGGCCAGGGCTGGGGGTCCCACAGCGGGCCAGGTGACCGGGTTCCCACACACAACACTGAGGAAGGGGCCCAGCTGTCCGGGACCAGAGTATCGGACATATTGGTGTTGGATCAACAGTCTTGTCTTGACACTTCTAGAATATTTTACTTGACGGGAAGGTGAGAGGTCTGGGCGTTCCTTCCCCAGGTGTTTCTTCCCCAGTCGTTCCTTCCGCAGGTGTTCCTTCCCCAGGTGTTCCTTCCCCAGTCGTTCCTTCCCCAGGTGTTCCTTCCCCAGGTGTTCCTTCCCCAGTCGTTCCTTCCCCAGTCGTTCCTTCCCCAGTCGTTCCTTCCCCAGGTGTTCCTTCCCCAGGTGTTCCTTCCCCAGTCGTTCCTTCCCCAGGTGTTCCTTCCCCAGTCGTTCCTTCCCCAGTCGTTCCTTCCCCAGTCGTTCCTTCCCCAGGTGTTCCTTCCCCAGGTGTTCCTTCCCCAGTCGTTCCTTCCCCAGGTGTTCCTTCCCCAGGCGTTCCTTCCCCAGTCGTTCCTTCCCCAGTCGTTCCTTCCCCAGTCGTTCCTTCCCCAGGTGTTCCTTCCCCAGGTGTTCCTTCCCCAGTCGTTCCTTCCCCAGGTGTTCCTTCCCCAGTCGTTCCTTCCCCAGTCGTTCCTTCCCCAATCGTTCCATCCCCAGGCGTTCCTTCCCCAGTCGTTCCTTCCCCAGTCGTTCCTTCCCCAGTCGTTCCATCCCCAGGCGTTCCTTCCCCAGTCGTTCCTTCCCCAGTCGTTCCTTCCCCAGTCGTTCCTTCCCCAGTCGTTCCTTCCCCAGGCGTTCCTTCCCCAGTGTTCCATCCCCAGGCGTTCCTTCCCCAGGTGTTCCTTCCCCAGGTGTTCCTTCCCCAGGCGATGGGAGAGATGGAAGGGACAGAATGAGAGAGTATATGCCTGAAGAGAAGGGATAGGTCGGTGATGGGAGAGGGAAGAACAGATGGGATGGGTGCAGGTGTGGTGACACATGCTCTTCCTCTCAACCAGAGTGTTTGCTTGGCAGGTTCTTGGTGATCTGATATAAATTATATTGGGTGACTGGTGTAGTGTACATATATATATATATATATATATATATATATATATATATATATATATATATATATATATATATATATATATATATATATATGTATGTATGTATCCACAAACACATGCAGATGTATACTTATACACGAGGTAATAGATGTAAATACTCGCAAGTTTACTTTAGAAAGTCTGCACCTGAACCTCTGTGGCGTTGTTTTGTTTCAAATCCCAGCAGCTGGAGCACAGAATGGAAACAACATTTTATCGCAGTTCACATACTTAGGAACTGTGTGTGTGTGTGTGTGTGTATGCACTCATAAACGGGATCCTGTGTATGCACGCACACATACAGGAGATCCTGTGTATGCACGCACACATACAGAAGATCCTGTATATGCACGCACTCATACACGGAGTCCCGTACTCAGCAGCGGAGCAGCCAAAGTTCCGACATAAACCAGGAACATTAGAGTGTCGTGCCCGGGGGTTCCGACGTTAACGTGACGTGGACAGTGAGATACTTCACACGGCGCGGCGGGTGCACGAGTCGCTTGCGCCAAGTTGGTGGCCAGAGTAGAGAGCTGTCCAGTCTAATCCTAAGCCAGTGGGATACCTCACATGAAGATGGGGTGGGGGGAGGGGGGGGGGGTGCCTCAAGTGAGGGGGGGGGCCTCAAGTGAGGGGGGGGGGTGGATTACTTCAACGAAAGGTGAGGGAAGATTACCTCAGCCGAGAATATGTGGCTCACCTCAAGGGAGTGCAAGAGATTACACCAACTATAGACGGTGGATTACCCCAGTAGTAGCAACAACAGTAGCAGTAGCAGTAACAACAGTAGCAGTAGCAGTAACAATAGTAACAGTAGCAGTAACAACAGTAACAGTAGCAGTAACAATAGCAGCAGTATTACCCATAATTACCTTAGTGTTACCACCAGTTTCTCTCTCTGTGAGAGCCACTTCACTCCGGCCCCTGGCACCCTGGCACTGATGAAAGGCACCTGCCCATCACTGCCACGCTCTACTTCCTTGGCCCAGGAAATTTCCTCGGATTTTTATCCCAGCGATGAACTTGTCTTCAGGCGAAGTGGGAAAGAATCGTTCCGGGGAACATTTAGACGATAAACCCGTCACTCTGGCCAACATGTACCGATGCCTTGAGATATGTCACGGGGCCTCTCCTTCCTCAGGTGCTCGGCCAGTGGGTGTAGTATTGTGAGTCCCCCGTGGGGGGTGAGGGGTGCTTGGGTGCCAGGTGTCACGGGGACATGTTGGCAGGTCCGGGGGGGAGGAGTGTCAACACTCAGGTGTGGCCCTTGGACGGTGGCCAAGGTGGTGGTGTGCAAATCTTTGGCTGCTCTGCTTCTATATTATTTTCTCTCTCCCTCTCTCCCTCTCTCCCTCTCTCTCTCTCTCTCTCTCTCTCTCTCTCTCTCTCTCTCTCTCTCTCTCTCTCTCTCTCTCTCTCTCTCTCTCTCTCTCTCTCTCTCTCTCTCTCTCTCTCTCTCTCTCTCTAAGATAAACTATAACAATATAACACGTAATCATAATAATCAGAAGCTATATAATCTACATATTGATTTAGATTTAGAAGCTATATATGTCGGTGTTTAATACAAATCATTACAGCTCTGGCAGAAGTAAACTGATGGTACAAATATTGAACAAACTTTTAGTTTTCCATTAGAGCAGCGAGAGAGAAATTGGCTAACCATATAATCATTAAAGTGGTAATTTGAATGGTAACTAACGTCAATAAATTATACCATCAACTTATAACAATTTACAAACCCTGACCATTTATCTTCAAGAGATATTGGGGCGACCCCTGGATCAAAGTAACTATTAATTCACGGCTCCTGTAACATAGATCTGAGTTCAATAATATATAAAATGTTTGTCAGTAAGCCCATTCTTTTTGCCAGCTCATCCTCCTATATGAAAGTACTTACACAAACAGTTTGGTTGAACGTTCCAGTATGTAGTGATGGACCAACATAAAGTTGAATTTGTATTATTGAATTTGAACAAATTGGAAACTTTTTTATTCGAAACATACCTATAAGACCTACCCTAACTTAGCCTCCTAGTAATCCTAAGCCTTATACACGCTATATTAGGCTTAATATAGTACATATATCTCCTATACTGAGCCTACGAATACTTAAGATTGGGTTTTAGCTATATTTTGACCGGACCCTAAAATTAAAAGTACCAAGATTACTGGCGATACATCGCTATTTTTTGGTATTTTCCACCAAATACTTTCTGTAATTACTTTCATAAAGAAGAGCGGGCTGTCAAGAAGGGCGGGCTGTCAAGAAGGGTGGGCTGTCAAGAAGGGTGGGCTGTCAAGAAGGGCGGGCTGTCAAGAAGGGCGGACTGTCAAGAAGGGTGGGCTGTCAAGAAGGGCGGACTGTCAAGAAGGGTGGGCTGTCAAGAAGGGTGGGCTGTCAAGAAGGGCGGGCTGTCAAGAAGGGCGGACTGTCAAGAAGGGCGGGCTGTCAAGAAGGGTGGGCTGTCAAGAAGGGCGGGCTGTCAAGAAGAGCGGGCTGTCAAGAAGAGCGGGCTGTCAAGAAGGGCGGGCTGTCAAGAAGGGCGGGCTGTCAAGAAGAGCGGACTGTCAAGAAGGGCGGGCTGTCAAGAAGCGGACTGTCAAGAAGGGTGGGCTGTCAAGAAGGGCGGGCTGTCAAGAAGGGTGGGCTGTCAAGAGGGGTGGGCTGTCAAGAAGGGCGGGCTGTCAAGAAGAGCGGGCTGTTAAGAAGGGTGGGTTTACTGACAAATATTTCATATAGTATTGAAATCAGAGCTATATGTTAGAGGAGCCTTGTGTTCAGAGTAATTATGATCCTGACTCGCCCCAAAATCTCTTGATGTTTGGGGTTTGTACATTGTTATAAGTTCACGGTATAATTTGTTTAAACTAGTTTCCCTTCAAATTGACTTAGCGCCTAATTATCACTAACTAGTAAGTATAAGTATAATCATTACAGGAGGATGGGTTGATTTTTTATTGCAGTTTCTTCATAAATCCCAATATCCAGCCTGGGATCTCCCAGTTTTATCTGCTGACTAGTGGAAATATTTTATCCTGTATATCCTCCTACACCATTAAGTACACCACTCATTCTTAGGATAATTAAGGATAATCAAACGTGAAATAACATTAGCCTACTCATCCTTTTTTTTTCTCCTCTTTTGTTACGTTCCCATTCCTACACCCATTATCACCCTCTTACACCCATCCCATGCGTACATTTCGCCTTGTTCTTACCTTCCTCTAAGAGTCTCCTCCTCACCTCTCTCTCTCTTGCCTTACCTAACGCCTGTGTCTCCCTCACGCCCATCACAGTAGACTTGATGATGGTCCAGGACGGACCGAAACGTCTTCGTCTCCTATCATCAGCCGCGTTATTGTGACTCGTCGTCGCATTCTTAGCATATATTTCAGAACAATCAAGTTGATATTCCTGGAAGGGGTTTGTGTGGGCAGTGATCAGTGAATGCCAGAGTAAGTGAAATCTTCATGAAGGTCTCCGTAGAGTTACACGTGTTTACGTTGCTGCCCGCCATTTCCAACATATAGTCTAGTCTGTCACCCAGAAATGATAACACCTTTGGGGGGTTATGGATGGAATATACAAAACATGGACTGTTGGGTCCCATAAACGTCCGTGCTTTGTACTATTAATTTTATTGTTGGCGCCAAAAACATGTAGGCAACAGAAACATGTGACTTTTCCCAGGGCTTGTATAGTGCATATGAGAGCTGAATGACTGTACACGCTAGGCCGAGGATTGCATACTTAACTTAACAAAAAGAATATATATAGAAACATAGTTAAACATAAAAAAGTGTATTTAAATTACGTTTCCTGCTTATTCGTTTTGTTTGTGTTTTTACAATTCCAATAGTATAAAACTAGAGATTTTTTACCACAATAATCCACGTGTTGTGTACGGAGGCCAGCACTGCTGGAGGCCGGAGTGGTTATATAGACTACAGGTATGTACTTAGCCAAGAGCGATTACCTAATTATGGTTGAATTAAGTGAGGTCTGACTCCTGGGCCCCAAACATGTTGGGAATCTATGGAAACTATTGCACTGGTCCGTCTGATTCCATAGTTCAAAAGCAACTATTATTTCAGCTCATCTGTTTCACCGTGATTATCCCACGAAGCTGTGCGAAGCTTAGACTCTTAACAGGTCATGTGTGTGTGTAACTACATAAGTGTAATTACCTAAGTGTAGTTACAGGATGAGAGCTACGCTCGTGGTGTCCCGTCTTCCCAGCACTCTTTGTTATATAACACTTTGAAACTACTGACGGTCTTGGCCTCCACCACCTTCTCACCTAACTTGTTCCAACCGTCTACCACTCTGTTTGCAAAAGTGAATTTTCTCATATTTCTTCGGCATCTGTGTTTAGTTAGTTTAAATCTAAGACCTCTTGTTCTTGAAGTTCCGGGTCTTAGGAATTCTTCCCTATCAATTTTATCATTTCTTGTTAATATTTTGTACGTAGTGATCATATCACCCCTTTTTCTTAGGTCTTCCAGTTTTGGCATATCTAATGCCTCTAACCTTTCTTCATTGCTCTTGTTCTACAGTTCTGGGAGCCACTTAGTGGTATGTCTTTGCACCTTTTCACGTTTGTTGATGTGCTTCTT